CATTAGATTAGTGGACGATGATAGGAGCCATCATGATGATGATTACGATCCAAATTATGATTTTTGACGTGGGACGAGTATGTGTCGACTGGATTTCTAAAGTCAGGATATCCACTAAGGTTGTTTAAGGTGCAGACGATGTGCATGATGCTGAGTCTGTTGCGGAGAATGCCGCTGGAGAGGATGAGTATCAACATAATAGCCACACTATATCTGGAGAATGTTGTGAACTCCGAGATCAAAAACAAGCTGAAAAGTCTCAACAAGCAAATGCGAAAATTAGGAAATAAGGTAAAGTTGTCCGCCTGCTTTTGGTCTTTGCTGTTCTGTGCAGAGGTCAGAAACGAACTAGATAGTTTATTATACTATGGTGCGTAGTGATTGCATGTATTCATCTGATATCGGTAGATAATGGTGGTATTGCGTAGTCTGTTACTATCCTTAATAAATTATTACCTTATCGTTGCACAACGTTTATGTCATTGCTCCGCTTTAGTGATAAGATCCATGCTCGAATAGTGCTATCAGTAAATCAGGGTATATCTTTTCCCGCTACAGGAAAGTTTGTTTTGGCGTAGCGGGGTTAAGCAGACGCTTCGAGCGATCCGCCTGTGCAACTGGAAAAGCAATATTTTTTTAAGTGTGGTGTATATTTATGTGTTTGGGCTCGCTTAATTATTTGATAGCGAAACAAAACGCACGAACTTACGGATAGATTTGTTGAACACCTAAGATTATTGCGCCCGGTGGAATTTCATGGGTTTCCGGTTGCTGACCATTTAACCAACTGGATCACACATTGATGACGTGCGTGTGTGTGGCTGCCATAATGACCGATATTACAAATAGATTCACGTTCGACACGATGAACTGAGCAGAATTATGTCTGCAGGGTCTATGGTGTTTAATCAAGGGGGCATGAACGTATAACTGTAATTACTGGATTTTTGAAGTCCATGTTCGTTGTGATTATTGATGTGTGTGTTGTGTGTGTGTGTGTGTGTGTGTCAGAACTGTGTGTGTGTGTGTGTGTGTGTGTGTGTGGGTGTGTTTCGTGTATGGATGTCTCTGTCGTGTCGTGCGTGGTTTTTGTGCGCTGTATATATATATGTGGCTGTTCTTTGTGTCGTCCGTATTCATCGGCAAACGCGCGAATTGTGCTGAATCATTTCATTTTGATTATCTATAACGCATTGCTATTTGTTTTTGATATTTGATTTCTATTCCAAATGTCATGCTGGCACATGATGAATGAGATGTATTCTCGTAAAGCGCTCGTCACATCTAAACTTTAAACACCACTTGATTCTATGACCTTGACTTTGTTTTTATCTACAGGCGCTGATTCGTGTGTGACTTACTATTATATATATATATAATATATATATAGATATATATAAATATATATATATTAATTATATATGTATGTATGGTGCGGCTGTGCGTGCGTTAACTCGTGCGTGCGATGGTGTGGGTTGCTATATGTACTTAATTGGTACATTGAGCAATTAATTGAAGCGACGCATATCGTTGAGTTATGCCTTGTCTTCAGATTGTCTATATTCGCGACTTTTAATCTAATTACATCGGCAGAATGAACTATTTCAGTTGGACTAATTAAAGATGACATGGAAGTAATTGGTCGCAGAGGTTTCAATACCTTCTCAGATATCATGCAAGCACGAATTTGTTTTACTGGGCAATAGATGCTACAGGTATTGTCACCATATATGGACACTCTATAGGAGGCATATTCTCTATGTCAGGCTGGCCTAGATTGAAATTTGCCGGCAACTAGTAATGAAAATGTATTAAACGTTTTTCCACATCCATCAGTAATACGATAGATAGATAGATAGATAGATAGATAGATAGATAGATAGTTAGATAAGTAGATAGATAGATAGATAGATATAGTCAAGTCCAGTTAGTTAGTTAGTTGATATAGTAGTTAGTTAGTCTAGATAGATAGATAGATAGATAGATAGATAGATAGATAGATAGATAGATAGATAGATAGATTAGCATAAGATAATAGATAGATAGATAGATGATAGATAGATAGATAGATAGATAGACAGACAGACAGATAGACAAACAGACAGACAGACAGACAGACATGGAGGCAGGCAGGCAGGCAGGCAGGTAGGCCGACCGACCGACCGACCGATCGCTCGCGATCACAGGCAGTACATCATGTGTTTTAGGTTCTATAACACAACGTCGATGCTAATGAACTGGAACAGTGCCAAAAGAGTTTGCAGGCAGTTGGGTGCATCGCTGGTTGCCATAGAGACGGAGCTGGAACAACAAAACTTGGCTAACTACCTCTTGAACAATAACTTCCGTACCGATGGCTCTGGTGTGTATGTTAAGATACAAAGTGACATGTATAGGGTGGTTTGTTGTTGACACTAGTACTGATGAATGAAGGCGTAGTGTATAGTATAGATGCGTTTATTCTAAGTTACGACATAACTTGCCAACCTGCAGAGTCGTCCAAGACCAAGACTGCCCGACGCCGACGAAAACCAGAATCAGAATTCCTGGTCTCTTCCGTCACCTCCCTTTTTATGGGAAGTCTTCTCTCTCTGTGACCTATGCATAGGCTTCCCTTTGCTCTCGCCCAATCGCAGGCGCTCTACCTTAATTAATTAGTGAATAGTACGTGACTCTTCGGAATTTAGCCTATTGATTGTGCAACATCCCTGTATTTGGCTTGTTGCCATCTGCCTCTACTTATAATTACTTATGAATATTTACTGTTGTCACATCTAACTGTTTACTACACCTATCCTCTAGGAAGAATCTGGAGTCAATAATAATCTTATATAGTTGCTCATGAATAATTACTGTTATCATCTCTATTAGGAATGTCAACAAGGAGAATAATGTCGTCAATAATGTCGTCTTCTAAAACACTTGACGTTGTTATTATAGTCGCCAGATATCCTTTATTACTTTGCGGCCGCTCTTATTTCCCTCGCGAACTACATCGCTATGTTGCTCATGCAATCGAACTCTGTGGTATTGATACATTACAGATACTTCAGTGATGAATCTTACATTTATAAACGATCAAGTTTACATTTATAAACGATTTCTTTCGACGCCAATGAGGCGATAATTGGTCCACATAAATAAGCTGTAGTAATATAGTGTAGTGATATATCATTTCATATATATCATATCACATTTACAGTTTTATTAATTAATAATTGTTAATAAGTTATTACTACATAATTGATAGATTTTGCTAACGTCTATATAATGCTGAAACATTGATAGCGGGCATGATTGCATGACTATAGCAGATGGCTTTTGGACAAGCGGTACGGACCGGGCCGTGGAGGGCATGTTTGTGTGGACTCACACGGATCGACCATTTCGATATACAGCTTGGGCACAAGGGGAACCAAATGGTGCCGATACTCGAGGATCTGACGAGGATTGCATGCATTTGAGTGCGTCAAAAGACTATAGGTACTTATATATGTGTCTGCACCGTTAAGTTTAAGAGGCAGATATTTCTGTGTGATCACAACTCTTACGATAATACAAATAATTTTAGTGTACTGCCACTTTCTTTTCAGCCACCGTCTTTACTTCACGGCTTTACCGGCTACTTTCTTGCCCCTCGTTCTCATACTTTCCTACTTTCCCTTTTCTCCTCTTCCTTCTCTTCCTCCTCCTCCTCCTCCTCCTCCTCCTCTTCCTTT